AGTCATACATTCTTCGGCAAACGCTCTCGTCTGTCAAGAATGCGCTTCAGTTTGATCAGCAACTATTGCACGAACCGCGCGTTCTCATTAATCTGCAACGCTTTGTGATCCACGTGTCCGAAGCGGTCTTCGAGGGATGGTTTCTTGAAGGTGCAGAGTCCTTGCTCGACTTCGCTGGCTTCCTCCTAGAATATCTCGAACGTCCGGATATTGCGACCATCAAGTCCGTCAGACTCTGCACGCAGGCTATCTCATCAATTCGTAACACCTTTTTAAGAGTTGCTCTGCTTCGTTTGGCGGAGTCCGATGAGTCAGAAAGTGGTGCAACTACCACGTCAGTTATCGAGAAGATGATGTATTGGCAGCCTATCATTCTTTCTTCTGTCAACAACGAAACATTCTCGTTGAAGATGATTTGCTATCTTCTCTACACACAGTTGTCGTCTGAACACACAGACGTGCGTCTTGCGGCGGCGAACTTCTGGAGGTCGCTCATGGTGCAAAAACCTCACGAAACATCTATGATCTTGGCCGATGCCATTCACGGCGACACGAAAGATCTTTACGATGGCTTTCAGAAGCTTGTCGAACTTGATAATGAAACATTTCTAGAGTGGCTCGATAAGAACAAGACCGAGATGGATAAGTTCTTCTATGGCTCAATGACTAAATCTTGGGAAGACTTTGCGCAAAGCCAAAATAAGAAGACCGAAGAGACTTCTCAGAGGCGAATTGCCAAGCGCAAGGAGAAGCTGAAGCAGTGGCAATCTGATGAGCTTGCTGCGGATAACGTCTGGAACCATCATGAAAACTCAACAAACCACTGGAGATCCAACATACATGCTTCTGAACGCATCAAGCATCAGCGTGTTCTTCAAGACCAGCAGGACAATGCCACTTACATGGCAACAGTCTTGGCAAAGCTCGACCACCAACTGAAAGGCCCATGCGGTCTATTCGAAGATAGCCCACCTGCCAAATGGCGGCTCGACGAAACCGAGGGCCGTGATCGAAAGCGTCTACGTATCGTGGTCGATAACACTAGCAGAGAGCAGTCGTATCAGCCCAAACGCAAAGACACAGATCCACGAGAGCGGCCCAGGTTGGATACCACTGTGCCAGCAATTTCGGCGAAGGAAGCTGTTGGTGCCACCCCTGTCAAGGCGCGATCAACTAGGTCTGTCTCTTCCGTGAGCGCATCGGGTGATCCGGCGGAAGAACCGGAATCTGCTAGCGACGATGACTTTGAGATGGTCGAAGCGATGTATGAAGATGAGGATGGCTTCGAAGACAAGAACCGCAAGGTCATGCGCAGCCTCAACCGCGGCGATCAGGTGCAATACGTTTGCAACATTTCTCGGGTAGTCGGATTGGAAGCAATAGAAGGCCTTCTTATTGTAGGAAAAGACTGTCTCTATTTACTGGACGACTTCTTCCAAAGGTCTGACGGCGAGATCGTACGCGTGTGGCAGGCGCCGCCCGATGAGCGCGACCCCTACGTCCAGGTCATAGCTGGAAAAGAAGCTGTCACTACCCGTCGCCCACCACCAAGGAGCCAAGAAGACGCAGTAAGGAACTGGAAGTGGACCGAGGTTATTAGTATTTCCAAACGGCGCTTCCTTCACCGCGATGTTGGAATCGAAGTCTTTTTCGATGATGGGCGTAGCTACCTTCTAACAGCTGTTTCTGCACAAGCACGAAACGATATCCACTCCCGGGTCCTACAGCGGGCTTCGCATGTCGCAAATCCAGAGAAGCATGCTAACTCTGAGATATCCTGGCGCCTTGACTCACTGCGCAACCCGGAAGAAGCACCACAGACATTTGGATCACGTTTCGCATCAGCTTTCGGCTCTGCTTCCGCTCATCCGGCGACCAAGAAGTGGCTGAAAGGAGAGATGTCCAATTTCCATTACCTGATGTTCGTCAATACACTCGCTGGAAGGACCTTCAACGATCTGACACAGTATCCGGTGTTCCCGTGGGTGCTGTCGAATTACCATAGCGAAGAACTGGATTTGAGCGACCCGAGTAACTTTCGAGATCTCCGCAAACCTATTGGTATCCAGGATCCTAAGCAAGAGCATCTAATCAGAGAGAGATTTAGTTCGTTTGCCGAAATGGGAGACGCTAACCACGCCTTCCACTATGGAACTCATTACTCGTCCGCCATGACTGTGGCTTCATATCTGATGCGACTTCAACCCTTCAGTGCGGCCTTCTTCCTCATCCAGGGCGGTACATGGGACCACGCTGATCGTATGTTCTACTCAATCCAAAACGTCTGGGACTCGGTGTCCGCGAAGAATATGGCCGACGTACGCGAGCTCACCCCAGAGTTCTACTTCCTTCCCGACTTCTTGACCAACGTCAATGGGTACAACTTTGGTCTGCGATCCGATGGCTCGAAGATCGATAACGTCCAATTACCTCCGTGGGCCAAGGGCGACCCGGCCATCTTTATCGCCAAACAGCGCGAGGCTTTGGAAAGTCCTTACGTTAGCCAGAACCTGCATCACTGGATCGATCTCATCTTCGGTTACAAGCAACGAGGCGAAGCAGCGATTGAGGCCGCCAATGTCTTCCACTACATGACATATCAGGGTGCAATCGATCTCGACTCTATCACCGATGAGAAGGAGCGCGCGCAGAAGATCAGTGTTATCAACAATTTCGGACAGACGCCTCCACAGGTTTTCCAGCGACCACACCCGCAGAAGGAGAATATTACGAGACCCACCAAGCTCGACACATCTGCGGAGAGCTTGCATCGGGTTCCTGGCACGCTACTGGAGTCTAATGATCGCATCTCATCTCTCAACTACATCAGCAAAAGCGACAAGCTCCTTTGCTCGGCACCATTCCGGCACAACATTCCGCCCCATCACGATCGTTACATGGAGTGGGGTTTCACTGATGGTAGCGTGCGCTTCTACGATTCGCATTCCAAGAAGCTCATCGGGCTCTTCGAGCATTTACACTCGGGCCAGCTGACAACATCGCTCTTTGTCGACGGTAGAACGCTCATCACTGCAGGAACAGACTGTACACTTGCGATCTGGAACATGAGCAAAGCCGAAAGAGGCCACATCGACCTACAAAACGCCACAACGCTATTCGGCCACAAGTCATCTGTCATCACTCTCGCCGCAAGTCGCGCATTCTCTGCATTCCTATCGGCATCTCTCGACGGACGTGTCTTCCTCTGGGACTTGAACCGAAACGAGTTCGTTCGCGAGCTCGATCTTGGTTCGCGACAAAAGCGAAACCCAGTCCCGATCCAGGCGGCTAGGATCAATAGCGTCACAGGACACATTGTACTCGCTTGCGGAAGCCGACTCATCGTCACGACACTCAACGGCGCAGTGCTGCTTGACGAGGATATATGCGATAGCGAAGACGATGCAGATGGCATCACAGCTGTCGCTGTGTATGAGGGTGTGGGAAATGAGTGGTGTGAGCGCGAACTCATTTTCACTGGACATCGTAGGGGTGTTGTTAAGGTAAGTAGTATATTCCCGTCCTCCAGACTAATCTTCACGATTACTAACACCGGCTACAGATATTCCAACTAACCCCAACACCCCCAATCATCTCCGCCCCATCCTCAGTACCCAGCAAATGGTCTGTGAACCTCATCAACGTGCTCAATCACAGTGATCCGACGTCTCCCTCGTCTGCGGCACCCATCACGTGTATATTGCCGATGCCTCATCATGTTTACACTGGCGATGAGGAGGGAAGAGTGGTAAGTCATGGTCTTCATCATGTTTGATGCGCGACATCTGCTAACGTCTTTCTGCAGTACGAATGGGATTGCGTGCACCGGCACCATTGATCCTCGACAAGCGAACTTACGATTGTGTGAGTACGTGAATTTTTGGCATAGACATGGCATGGTGTTTTGGATGCTTTTCGCATTGGCGTAAATAGCTGGATATGTGGCATTGAAAGGTGCATTGTGGACACTGGAATAGACAAAGTTTTGGGCCCCCTCTTACTAGCATCCTTGCATTCGATCTTGTTCCATTCAACATACCATCGTGAATCCAGCGGAACTACTTACGGCTTTTGGACAAAATCTCCGTTCGCTAGTCTGGTTATTGATCAAATGATGCAGGTGCTCTGGGAGTACGCGTGTTGCGCTCGCTGGCGTGTCGTTGTGTTCTTGTGATCATGCTTATCTGGCGTTTGCTTGGCGTTGCTTGTTTGGCTAGGGAAATGCGTGTACTTGCATTGCTGGCGACTGATCTCCCTTGCATTGCGCTTTGCGACTACGTGAACCTACGTGGCTAGCGAGAGCATGATGTTGGACGCCTTGTATTTTGGTGTGTTGGATGTAATGTTCAAGTGCTGACTGGGTGTTGAAGCTAGTGGTGTTGATGCATGTGTTGCCAGATAGTCGCCGTATCCGGTGTGCGTTATCAGTGATTGGCAGGGACTTCGATTCGAGAAAGGGCAGGGATTATTCAGCACAAGGGTCCTTGAGATGACGTACCTAGGTATCTCCTTTAAAGATCTTGGAAGAGCCATTATCCCGTCTTGAAGCTTGTTGGTGCACATTTGTTGGTTATGAAGGGTTCAATGTTGAGGGTCTCGCTGCAATGACCAACTTCAACAACGCCAAGGTCTTGCCAAGTCCTGGAGTATCGTAGTTTCACATTCTAGTTGAGCCGCAAACACTATAAGGGTCTCGTGCCCCTTCTAGGTCAATGGAAGTAAGCCAAATATCGTCTGCTTTGAGAGTTGGCCTTGCTTAATTGCGGGGTTCAGGGAAAGGGTACACATGAGCTAGCACCGCAAACAGCTAGCTCGTGGGGGAAAGAGATCCGCACCTGCCCGAACACAGCATGACCCCACTATTAGACCGCGTGCTTTGAGCCAATCCCAACGGATTAGCACGTCATTTTTCGCCTTAAGTCTGGGTCGTCGTCGCGCCGCCGTCGCTCTTTCGCAACTCCAGAACGACGCGACATTCCGAGCGACAAACCGAACGATACATGGAGTCGCCGGAAACGCCCGCCGTGCCAGACAGTGCTGCTAAGAAGCGCAGAAGACCAGTCAACGGTACGCGACATGGCCTCTTTATATGGCGATAGGTGTACTAACAGAGTTTCGACAGCCTGCGCTACTTGCCGTGCGAGAAAGGTAGGGTCTTACTGTCTTTTGTATATCTCTCCTTGTCTTCAAGCACCCATACCAGGATTGCGGGTATCCTACGACGGACAATGAGGTTGTCGTGATAGTCGTCGTTCCTGCGTCGGGGTCTGGGACATCCGGAAACCAGTAGATCAGGGCCCAACGTAGCTGACAACCATCCAGGTTAAGTGCGATGAACGCCCAAACGGCTGTCTGAATTGCGAAAGGCTACAGCTAGACTGTGTGCAGAATGGCGGTGTTTCGACTGCCGCGAAGAGACCAAGCACGGCGTACGAGCCTGTTGTAGGCATCAAGCGTAAACGTACATTTCGATCCTGCATTCCCTGTCGAGACTCCAAAGTCAAATGCTCCGGCGAACGACCGAACTGCATAAGATGCCAGCAGCGCAGGACCTCGTGTGTATACGATGCTGAGCAGGTGGAACCAGCCTGGGTACAGAGCATTGCGACTCCTGCATCAGGGACACACGCCGATTCTGTAATGATTCCTCCACATACTCCCCGGGATACTCGAGAACCTTCTAGGCTACTAGGCTCACTATCGAATAGCGAGCCTGCTGCAGCGGGGTGTCCGCCGGGCCTACTTTGGTATGCTTTACGATCTTACTGGCGTGCACCGAACTTACGAATATGCACAGGTTGTTTTCCCAGCAGCTGCCACCCAGAATGAAACTCCACGCTTTATTAGATGCTTACTTCAACAACGTCCACCCGATCCGCGTGTTCGCGTTCGAGCACAAGCCGTCGTTCATTCGAATGCTAGACGAAGGACAGCTCGTGGATGCGTCTGATCAGGCCCTTTTGCACATCATGTGTGCACTAGGCGCTCGATTCTACGCTCTCGACTACAGTGAGTCGTTCTCGCCCTTGACAAAAGATCTGATCCAGTCAGCGGGAAGCCAGTGGGCTAAAGTCGCGGAAGAGATGTTCTTCGCTGATTATAGCACCATCTCTATCACCAAACTCAAGGTCTTGGTCTTACTTCACGACCAAGAAGCTCGCAATGGCAACTATGCTGGGTCTTTTCTTCTTACCGGCCTTGTCATACGTATGGCGCATGCTTTACAGCTCAACAATGAAGTGTCGCCAGATGTGCTTTGTAAGGAATTGGGAGGGAGTCCAAATGAGGTTTCTGTACGAGAGTCTCGTAGAAGGCTCATGTGGGCATGCTATATGATTGATGTCTGGGCTGGTAGTGGCGTCGACCACCTCACTATACTCAATGAAAGAGACCTCAAGATCCAGCTTCCTTGCAACGAGCGTCAGTTCTCACTACAGATACCATGTATTACGGAGCGGCTTGAGAGGGGTACATTACTGGAGCTTATGTCTCCAGAGGATATTCCAGAGAAACCAGCGGATAATTTGGGTATGGCTGCGTACTACGTGCGCATCGTCAGTATTTGGCGACGTGTACTACGGTGAGTGTGGCTAGGATAAGCTCGCAAGTCTTGAATGCTGACTTGGAATAGGTTTGTGAAGCACATGGACGAAGAGCAACCGCCGTGGCTTCCAGAGTCAGGGTTCGCCGTTCTTATCGAGGACATTCAGTCGTGGAAACAAAGTCTGCCATCCTGGCTGGACTTTTCTGCGGACAACATCTACATTCGGCGCGAAACACATCAGCTAGGTGCACTCCTCCTCATCCATTGCATGTACCACCACGTTATGTGCGACGTCCACAGGATCGCTCTCCCTGACCTGTTCAAAAACCAGGAGCCGTTCGTCTTCCCTACTGATCGACAGGCGTTCGTGAGTCATCTGCAAGACGTCTGCTTTGAGCATGCGCAGCGTATGTCCGTACTAGTCTCACACATACTTCAACACGGCGTCAAGCATTTTGCGGACTCCATATTGCCGTCGTTCGTTTACAACAGTAGTCGCATCATGCTCTACTACATCGCTCGGATCCTGGACGTATCAAAGCCCGACGCAGGAACTGTCATTGGTCGTACAGTCGAGCTAGTACAGTACAACAACCAGGCTTTGCGAGAGATGGCGTTCATGTACCCGCTTGCTGAATCGTTATGTATCACCTCCGAGCGCTGGTTGGAGACTGTACGCGACAGTCTGGCTCGCGGTCACTCTGCTGACTACATTGCGCCTCAGGATCCATCAGAGAACGAAGCGCGGCGCATTGTCGGCGCACCCGCACCGATGGCTGGCACTCCTAGGCAGCGAAATGCGGCGATCTCGGTTATTCCTCCTGTCGAGGAGATACTTTCGGCAACTTCACCTTCAACTCTTCGCACGGCTACTACTCGCTACCCATTCTCGGCGCCTACCACTGGTCAGGGCGCCTCTACTGTTACATCAGGCCAGGCCATGACGTCGTCATCTGAGAATGCGGTAGGACCCATTTACTCTTCCCCCAGCGCGCCAACTGCTTTCGAGCAGCCCATGTTCAACCTGGACGACCTCCAGAATTTCTTTGGATGGGAAGCAAGTGATGATGAGAACGCGCAGTCTACTGGGTTCGAGGGCTTTGGTCCGCTAGGCTGGGCAAATAATTTCTCTATCATGTAAGTGAGTATCGTGAAAGCAACCTGCTGGGCGTTTGGGCACGGTCTTTCCATGTTACATCTCCCTCTTCCGCTGGCACCGACGCGGTAGGTCTTGAACCGTCTCGGTTTATTACTAGACTGTTTCCTCTTTGGGATCAATATCAACCTTTCATACTCACCTTTCTCTCTCAACCACGCGCGATTAGAGCCACTTACACGACACGTTCTCATGGGCCTTTGGCATGTGAGAAGGCGGTGGGTGAGACAAACCGAAAGGAAGACATTAGCATTCACGACAGAGAGTTGGGCGGTCACGGCCGTTGCAAAGATACAGAAATCGCGACAACAGCTTTCGGGTCTCACGATAATTTCGCACGGAACTGTCTCCTCTACAATTGTATCGAATATCTTATAGCTAGTCCTAGGTACCTTGATCATATTCCTACATTCTTATCGCAGATCATCGCCATCATCGAAGATGGCTTGACCCCGATGTGATCAAGTGCATCCTCTCGGGTAGTTGAGACCCGAGAAGCTTGGTGCGAAAACGCACACGAGCAATTGTCATCATCCAAAACACACAATGAATTTTGGCCAAGACATGAGTTGAGCCACGCCTCTAACTGACGCAAGTTCCCGAGAAATAAAACTCCTCGTTATCGCAGGCAGGTCTCGAGGCGACGTTGTTTGCACCACCAGGTAGGTATGGCGAGATACCAATGGTGATCATGACGTTACCTTCGGTGTCCATCACATCGGAGGAAACGTACTTGGATTGCACAAGCTCGTCAGGGTCAACAAGGCATCGGAGATTGTCCAAGACATAATCATACGCAACCTCTCCTGACCACGGCATGTCTGACCAGTCCGCACCGGGAGTGTTCCGCTGACAGGCTTGAATGTCAACCCCACCATCGACAACCACACCCTCGTAGCCCTGGCGTTTTTCGATCTTGACTTGGTGAGCGAACGAGAGTGAGTGTCCAATATCATCGTTCGCTTCACGGCGGGTCGTGTAAACATATTCCAGTCCGTCTTTACCGGTGAATTGGTACGCGGGCGTCTCCATGTCTCCATCGCGCGTCGTCCGGCCAAGGTACTTGCCCTCGTATCCGGCTGTTCGCAAGATGGACTCCATGTATTCCTCGTGCGATAGTTCCGGTTCCTCTGGTGTTCCGTCCAATCCCCTCCTAGCTGGGTTTCGGCCACCGAGTTGGAAAGCGTTGTTTCTCATGTGTGCTCTCAGATTGGTGACGTTCTCGTAGAAACTCCAAAGAGCCATGATGAAAGAGATTCCGGTCGCGGTTATCGCTAATGCGCAGCTAGTCTGTGGGATTGCGGTCGCGCTGTCTACGCCAATGCATCCGGTCACAAGAGAGACGAAGCCCACAGCTGATGCTCCAGCGCTGATGGCGGGCCTGACAAGCGCGCTAAGGTAAGGGTTGTTTGAAGGGATTGCTGCTACTTCTGCGAAAGAGCCGGAGCCATTGTACAAGGCGAGGTCGTAGTGTTTTGCAGATCCCATGATATTCTCGTCGGCATTGGCCTCCATCTGATCGGGGCTGCGCTGCCGGGGGCTCCGTTTAGCAACGGGTTTGGTGGAATGGGCTCTAGCGTTCTTGTAGACTACTGAATATGCCTTGACGTCGTCGCGCTTATCGCCATGACAAACGAGTTCATCGTGGAAGTCGAGTATACTGGTAGTACTGCAGGCTTCGTCGCCATAAAGCACTACCTCGAGGTCGCTGTCGTTGGGGCCGTCAAAAGAGACAACCAGTGACTCCGCAGTGACCGTAGCCGAATCGAGCTTTTCGCAGAAGATAATGTCGTCGTGCTCGGCTGCATAAAGAAACGCCCCTTTGCATCCAGTGCTTATGTACCTGATGAAGAGAATGAGTATCCGTTTCTCACGGAATTTGAGGAAAGATCGCTCACCAGGATAGTCTCACTGCTTGAACCGTCTGGGCGGCCAGCAGAAATGATGCGAGGAATCTCATGCTTGAGGAATTGGAGAATTGATTGTGATCTCGTTTGCCAGTCAAGTTGGCGTGATGAGTCTCTTTCGTGAAGAAAGAGCACCATATTTATATCTCCTCCACCTGGTATATCGCCCCTCAGTTCTTTCATCGAGATCGATATTCCTCATGATAATCCAACACTAGCTTGACAACTGTTTCGCCCCAAATGCCAGTGTTGCATATGCTACAGTTGCATTACGCCCGACTGCTACCCATATATGGGAGTTTGCGAGCCATGTGTTTGTAGAATTGACGTCAAAGACGAGGCCAAGTCTTAATTATCCTTCCGAACAGCCGTAGCTAAGACCGTGAGCAGAGCAAAGAGTTCTTCCTGTCCATCCATTCATCACTGTCACATGACGGCCAAGGATGCCCAGGGGCCTTATGCTTGGTACATATGGGGCTCAATACATCTCGGTTAGTTCTTCGAACCTACTATACGACTATAACCTCCACGAAAACTATAATTAAAGTTCGGATGTGGCTTGGTGTCGATAGATACTCAGTTGGTGGGTAGGAAAGCCCTGCTCACTGCACATCCTGCGAAACCTATCCGTGCTACTCGCCCACGTTGTTAAAGTTACGTTTTTACTGGAGCAATGTTGTTTCGTCCGTGTGTAACGCTTCTCTTAATCGAGTCGTTTCAGGTGGTTGTTCAACCATGCCAAAGATCACTGTTCATGTATCAGGAAGATGACATAGATGGGGTATAGATAGTATGTCACTCTGAGAGCAAGATCGCGAGGGTCAAAATGTTGGCTTTGAGTAATCGAGACACTTATGTGACCGTCTTTCTCCTCTGAGTCTCTAGGTCAATACGCTAGTGACCGTCTCCAGTCTATTCTAGTACAACGCCATGATTGCCATTGATCTTTGATGGCTCTGAAAATTGCTTGCTGCTACGTCCCAGTCGGCATATTCTTAGGCTCTATGCGGCCCACATGACCCCGAATAGACGATCCCATGCTTCAGAGGACTGCCCGTGAGACCAAATCTTTCAATTGATAGTTTTGTCGCAGACAGTTGTATTTCCAGGACGCTCATCCTTGAGCATAAACCACCCCATCCAGACCATAATTCCATACACGAAACAAAACCACCCTAGCGCGAAGAAGGGCAGAGGGTTCGTCATCCAAGTTTCGGGGAGTTGATGTGGGTGCGTCCGATGCAGATGCACCGCATACGCGAAGCTGAAGAAGCTGAGGATAAAAAGGATGGCCCCGGGTATATAAAGATAGCGATAGTAGCGCCATGTTCTTCGTATGAAGTCGTTGAGAGCCTCTTGCTTTGCTCTCGCAGCGCTGGTCAATGTTGCAGTGTCCCTCATGGTGAGGTGCGTAATGTGTTGTTACGTGGTGACATGACTGAGCCTCAGAAAGATAAATGCCTTTACCAAGATTTCCGAAGTCTTAGCAAGGCGTAAATTACGACATACCCCCACCACTCAGCTTGGCGACTGCAACTTGAGCCGGCAACCGGCAGTCACATCACTGATTAGGCAAACAACTAGACCGTGGTGCGAAACTGATCTGCAGGTCCATATTCTGATCTGAATTGGGGGCCGACAGCCTTCGCTATACCTCCTGGTCTAGCAACTGTATGGGCTGGAAGATCATGTAGTCAAATCCAAGGTTAGGACACCTCGACTCCTGTCGCGGGCTCTGTTCATGGTAGCACCTATCGTGTGCTCTCTAGGCTGCTGTGTTATGGGATTGGGAACAACGTGAATGAGATAGTCTTGTGGCGAACGCGATGTTTCATTGAGTCTTCACAGGAATCACTCGCCGAACGTATTCATATCTCAGTCTTCGCGTAACGAGTGGTGGGCTACTGAGAAGATGTCCAGCCATGCTTCGCTTCCTGTAGCCATGCCACGTCCGTATACATGCGTGTCGTGAATGCTGTTCTGCACAACATTCGTTTTCGTCCAATATGTGCAGGCGACTTGTCCATCTGGCGATATAGCTTCTATCATGAGGACTTTGTTCTGCTCTCGTAGGACTGGAAACTCCGCTTGGAACCAAAGGCCTCCCTTGTTGACATAACCTGGAGTATTTGCGCCTGGTCCTATACTGGCATCCATGACTGTTGCAAAGACTTCGCAGAGCGAAGCGAAGGCTTTGGACATGTTTGTGTAATACTGTGTTCGCCATGTCTCGTCGTTCATGATACAGCGCAGTGGATTGGTACTCGTGGCTTCGCTGTTGTAGTATTTTCTAGGCCAGACATCCTGGGCTTGGTTAGCGGATGCCAGGAAACGGGTGGCGAGTATATATGTACCCATATCGTTGTCATAGGAGACTCCCCATTTGGTCTGGTTTTCGCGTAACGGCGTGCCGTCTCGCTCAAGCCGCGCGTGTAGAATAGACATAGGTTGGGTTTGGGTCGCAAAGTTGCTTCCGCTTGGAACAACTCGACGGTGTATTTATCGACGGGATCCCAGGTTGCTTTCGAGCTATGGGGCTGCGTGCATTCGTTGTCTTTAAGCTCTAGCGGAGCAGCTCCGGTGACAAGGAAGAGTTGGTAGAATGTTATAACAAAGGAAACGAGCCTCATGACGAAGTTGATGTATAACGAATTGGGGATTTGAGGTCGCCCATGCAGCAAGGTGGAGCTATATCTAACAAAGGTGTAAGCGGCCCCCAGCGCCTATCTATAGGCGAGGCTGAGCGTCAGGCGTGCATGATCGGCCCCTGCGCCATGGCATTCAGTTTGCGCATCTTGCCAGCTTGAGGACCAAGGATAGGTTCGCACCTCACACGACCAATCTCATCCCTTCGTTGATCTGGTATGCCTCCCATACATGTGGTTTCACAGCACCTAGATAGACAAGGCTCATTCAGATCAATCGGAGACCATGTAATAACCACCCAGCGATTTTGCCAAGAACAACATCTCAACGGTGTGCCATGTGCACTTCAGATGGAATCACGAGCGGATAGCAATCTGAAACATTTCGGCTACAGAAATGGGAAATGGTGGGTGGTGGGTAGAAGACAATAGGTGGCAAATTGCAAGATGGTGGTAACTAAGCGCCCGCACAGCCCTGCCCAGACGCGAACTCGGGTGCTCGGACACCTGGAGCTTGTAGGGTTAGCTTGCCCCCGCATTTGTCCTAGTTCAGCATTAGCTCACGTCCGCTTCAAATGCTCCAGATTCCACCTAGGCCGACCATTGCGATCCTACACTGCATCCCCAATATCTCAGTCTAGGTTCAAAGGCACGATGGCAAGAATGCCATTTTTCTACTTCTTTGTATATACGTATGAAACGGCTAGCGTCACTGCGACGGGACATGCCTGCGTCAGGTACTCGAGTGTTTACTAATGACTCGTGCAGCAGGTGGAGGATAAGATGAAAGACACGTTCCAAGGTGCACAGTACATATACATAGAACCTGGCGATTAAGTTCGTTCGCTTTTAACTTAAGAGATCGCAGTTGTATCTTAGGTGGTGATGAAGTTTAGAAATTCTGCTCTCCTCACACCAGCCGCCGCGGAAATCACTAGCTACGACGATTTCGGAAATGTTCCTTCGCTTTACCAGCAGGAAGACCCAATTTTCGCTTGCTCCCTACCCAATGTCCAGCCACTTCGCAAAAGTTTCTTTCCAGTGCTGATATTATCGCGTTTCCAGATAACTCATCTGTACTCAATTTCCGTGGTTGACCTCCTACATCTGAGGCAACTAAGGTCTCCATCGGATCTATGTTCCTCAAGAAAAAAAAAACGTTCATCTCGATTCTGAGTGATTTCGCGTATATGATGTCTGCGGATCCGAACATCAGGTCTAGGCGGTCGCCGATGTAGTATATGCTGATGAAGCGCAGATCTGGAAGATAAGCGGTCGGAACGACGTCGATTTGGTTCAGCAAGTGTTCCATAAACCGCGTAGTAAGGCCGGTACAGTCGACAATGGTCAAAGACTTGAGTGTCACCGGCAGTGCCGAGAAGAATAGTCCGTTCGTCCGCACAACGTGACTAGGTGGGAGCGCAGACTCCGGAATTATCAGCGTCTGTAGATCATCAAAATGGTAGTAAATGGGCGAGATTCGGGCAGCGCGAGAGAGTGTTATACCCTTCCATGAGGATGGCAGCTCCAGCTTGGTGAGTCGCGGGTACTTTGCTTCAAAGACTTGAGCGAGGTACTTGTGTTCTCGCAGTTGTTGCGTCGAGGGGTCATTGGTCCAGTGGCAGCGACCATCAATCTGTGGGCTCATTGGTCCTTGCCAGGGGTCTGCGTCCCTGAGCAACATTGGATAGTGCAATATATGGCCGCCACCGAGAAGGAGTTCCTCGAGGTTCGGTAGTGCTAGGAGAAGCAGAGCAAGGAAAGCGTTATTGTGACCTGACCGGAGCGCGTCTGCCCACATCCGCTTGTTACGGTCGCTAGCAACCTCAGTCTCCCGGATGGTGTTTAGGCAATCTGTTCGGAAAGTGACCTCGGCCTCGATAGCGAACTGCCTCGACGGCATTCTTGACCGGCGTTGCGCATCCACGTATTGTAGGAGTCCAGCATGCAAGCTACGCCGAAGATGAAATTCTCGGGCACTGTTCCAGGGCTTTTGCATACAGCCATCCTCATCGCCACCATAGTTTGCTTCTCGAGCCTCAGGAGATACATAGTTTGTGACTTCAAGAGACTTGACTTTATCCGCCCATTTGTTGGCGGGAAGATCCCGGAGCGTTCGAAATAAGGCGAACGCTTTCGGGAGTGGAACAGTAAGTGCTTTGAGCTCGTGAAAGCTAGTTCGAATTACTCTAGGGAAGCGAGTGTTCGCGGCGGCGAGGGCCGTTAGGTTTCCATAGGCGCTTCGGTCGAAGCGCGGCTCAACTACGAGATAGGGGATGATTTGAAGAAGTAATTCATCGGGGAGGTGTTTGATACTGGCCTGAGGAATACTGTTGGCCATGGAGAACGACATGTTTGACGATCGACAGCCCGCGTGCGTACAGAGGATTCAGTATACGAGTAGAAAAGGTCAAGAGCAGTGATAGTATAAATTAAGCGAATAGTTGAATCACAAGCAAGCGTCAGTGATTAGTCGTCTGACCACATCAGTGCCCCCTACCCGTTCGATGAGGATAGATAGAGCAGAAGATGCGGGGTCATGGGGTAGAAGAGTGACCAAACAAGGCGAAATAGGGAATGCTCAAGAAAAATTTCCTAGCCAGTATGTGCTGTTGCCTGGAAGAAGTTTGAGTCTCGAGTGAAGTAAGTTTCTTGAAAGGTCGCATGAGCCGTCTCCCCGTCATGAGTAACAAGTGCAATAACCGAGAGCGACCTCTATTCGATAGTGGATAATAGCGGACGCAGTGTACAGTAGGGAAGACTATTGCCCACTCCAGTAGAGCCATAGAGACATGCGGTAGAATTGTCAAGGAGAACCGTAGCAACTGCTATCTGCCTCTGTTCCACAAGCGCATGTGCGTTATTGCGCCAGCAATGATTGCTGTGAGTGCGTCATTTCGTGGCCTGTCATTCGCGGGCATCATCCAGTCTGTCGCTCGTATCGATCCTGTTTCTATGCTCAGTGTTGATTAGATGACAGACGAGTTTTGGGGTGAGATCATCGAGTACACCGACATAGCCGTAACAGTGATCGTACTTCGATATCCTCGGGGGTGACATCAGTGCAGCCCCGTCATAACAGGGACCGGCATGTGGTCAAGTGGTGGAGGAGCAATCCCTGCGTGTATGAAACGGGTGTCTACGTACTCCAAGTACCTGATAAGGGGCGTTTTTCAAGGGACAGCTCTGTGCCACTGCCGGTGTTCATATCCTGTCTAGTACGCAGTGTGAGTGCACCTCGAGACACGACATCGGACCGTGCAAGATTTAATGTGGTTCCGCGGCCAGCAGCCTTGCACTCATAGCCAGTCCAGGGGCGGGTGACTGCTGACTCGGACCGATTCGATCGCTGAAGTGATCGTCCGCCAACGGTTTTCTCCGCAGCTTAAGGCACATGCTTTTCGTTGTCGTTATTGATGACAGTTCTCATGTTGAGCTTGCCGCGTGACATTCGTCGAACTCGGCGAGAAGAAGTATGTTGCGACTACACCTATACTTCCGGTGACAAGACTAGAATAGTGCCCTTTGTACTACCAATCCAATAGTCAGAAGATTTCAAGCTGAGGTTTGCGTGTAGCTCGACACGGGCATTCGAGGTGGAGCTGGCACGTGGCGTGGAGACGCGTCGGGAAATTGCTGGTGGCCCAATTCGTCCAGACAGCGTCAATCCTCCACCAGTTCGGTAAAGCCAGGGTCAGGGCACGGGTAAAACCTCCAACGGCCGTCTAGTGGTTGTAGCGCGGTGTCAACAAAAGGCTGCGTCATGGAAGGTCTACCGTGCGTTTGTGAAGCCATTAGGCTTGAACAGTCGACGCTACGCCGCTTGGGGACTGTTCGGGCCGATCCAGGCAGAAAAGTGCCTGGGTGCTAGCTTCCGACGATCGGGCATGGACAGTACCGTAGATTTTGTAAATTCGCGACTCAGAAGTCTGCGCGACAACGTCGTAGACTGCAGCTTCAAATGTACCTGAATGAGTGCAGCTCGTATGATGCGGCGTATCTACACCGAATGAGGCACAGACGGGCCAATGAATAACGTGGTAAAGAGTGAGGTGTTGCTCGTGAAGGGCGACCCGCTGACAAGGAACGGGGAGCCGCCCAGATAACGACCAATGCAGCGAGAAAACCTGCGACGGCATGCCCTATCTAAGCTTCTGTCTATGACTAGGTCATACCAATGAGTCGCTAGAGACGTCTACGATAGTCCGCATCGAAGCCGCGAGTTCCGCGCCCTGGCAGTTCTACCCCTGATGCCGATCCCAATCGACACCAACACGATGACCTGGGAAGCGCACAGGTCATGACTCGGGGCTGTGGGAGGCACAGCAAAACGGGAAGAGCTTTTTGAATCTGAAAGCTGCGTCGCGCATAGCGTATGCCCTTCCAAATACGTGAACAAGCTTCCTGTTGGAAAGAAGAGCTAGGTGAACTCGGAGATTCATACCTGGGATGATCACGACCAACAGTATCTATGCCAACCTCAAGTCAAGATACGGTGAGGCTGTCAACTCTACCGTACTCCAGCTAGAAATTACTCGAGCGGGGCAAAGGACCCGTGCTGGCGAGCCCACCTTTATGGGGTCACCAACAGCGATCTACGCTCATGATACCACTTCATGATGGCTGAATGCATGGGTCACTACAGTGGATCAGCTATGGGTAACCTGGAATCAGGCGTCGTGATGTCGATCGGTATCCTACTGGTGTTCCTAATGCATACAACGGTGATATACCGGACATTACTGTGCTGCCACACTTGCACATGGTGTGGCGTCAGGAGAGAGACGTTGGAGTGGGTGAGTATATAAGTACTATCGGCTTCGACTTCAGTAAAAACATCATCCAGCTACAGATCCACATTCCTTAGTCCTTTACGACACTCGCTTTTTGCTCCAACTATATTACATTCTTTAAAAGAACCCTAATTCTCTCACGATGCGTTTCAACGTCCCCGTCCTTCTTGCAGCCGCCGCTGTTGCGAACGCCGCAGTTATTCCCCAGATCCCCAAGGTTGATGGTGTTGTCGGCGGCGCCACATCTGGTGTCACTAACACTGTCAAGGTACGTACTTCATTTCGCCTTGCGATTACTTCTACTGACAGTTTCGTTTAGGGTGTAAACCCCAAGATCAACGCCTCCATCGGACGCCGTGTCGACGCAAATGTTGGCGCCAAGGTCGCTGGTGTCGATGCCTCCGTTGAGGCTTCCACTGACCCCAAGGTTGCCGCCTCTATCGGACGCCGTGTCAACGCAAAGGTCGGCACCAAGTTCGGCTCAGCAGATGCCTCTGTCGACACCAAGAAGATCGGCGCGAACGTTGGTGCCCACATCACCAGGCGCCAGGTCCCTGACGTTAAGCCCATCGTTGGTGGTGCTACCTCCGGAGTCACTTCCACTGTCAACGACGTCAAGAACATCGGTGCTTCCGCCGACGTCGAGGCTCTCAATGACACCGTCGAGGTCGAGGTGAACAAGCGCCAGGAGCTCCCTGTTGCTGGTGACCTCGTCAACGGTGCTACCTCCAAGGTCACATCCACTGTCGACGACGTCAAGAACATCGATGCTAAGGTCGATGCTCTCGGTGCTTCCATCGACGCATCTATCGGCAAGCGCCAGGACATCCCCATCGCTGGAGACGTTGCCGGCGGTGTTACTTCCAAGGTTGGCTCTACTCTCGCCGACGTCCAGAACCTGAACGTCAACGACATCGCTGAGGGTGTCACCGCTCCCGTTGCCCCCGTCGTTGACGGTGTTGAGTCTGCTCTCAAGCCTGTCATCGACGGTGTCGAGCAGGCTGTTGCACCTGTCACTGGCGCTGTCTCCGGTCTTGTTACCCCCATTGTCAACGACGTCAAGGACAGCGCTCTCGGTACTGTCAACGGCGTTACCTCCAAGGTTGAGTCCACTGTTGGATCCACCGTTGACGACGTCAAGAACACCACTGGTTCCGCTTCCGTTCTTGGTCAGTCCGCTGATGCTGCTATCGAGAAGCGCCAGGTTCCTGACGTCGCCCCCGTTGTTGGTGGTGCTACTGGTGCCGTTGAGCCTCTTGCCAACACTGCCGCTGGTGCCGTTAAGCCTGCTGTTGACACTGTCGAGGGTGTCGTCAAGGCTCCCGTCGACACCGTTAAGGGCGCTGTTGAGCCTGCTGTCAACACTGTCAAGGGTGCCGTCGAGCCCGTTGTCAACACTGTCACCGGTGTTGTCTCACCTGTTGTCGACAACGTCAAGGACGTAGCCGGATCTACCGTCAAGACCGCCACTGACAAGGTCGGCTCCACCGTCGACGACGTCAAGAACATTGACGCCTCCGTCGACGTCCTCGGCGCTAAGGTCGACGCCTCCCTATAAAGGCGCTGCTAAGCTATGACGGTCATGCTTCGAGCGTTACGCAATCTTCCAGCGTCCATAGCGAGACGCATTTGTACATATACCTTAATCTGTAGTAACATCTAATCAGAAATACCCCCCTGACTTCATCAATTGCTCGTGAATATGCAAAATTAAGAGTGGGTTGAGGCACTTCAAGTGACCCCTGCTCCATACAATACTATTTACACTTCATGAACGCACATTCCCATTGTATCAGTATCAGGTGTATGGCTTGAGACTGAGTGAGAGTCGTGCTGAGTTAGGAAGTTTATTCCGTGGAACCTTGATCGTGATAGTCCAGAACGTATAATGTCCTTTCATCGATACAAAGATACCGCGTGGCAAAGGGCGGCTGAGTTCTGTCACCCATGGTTGGACTGTCTGGATTGTCGAGAGGAAATTCATCTCTAGCCGTAGTTCTGTGCCATGTTCAAGCTCTGGGGACATCTGAAGAGGTTCTCTGAGCTGCGTTACTCCTCCGTCAAGAGCCTCTCCTCACGTATAAGTTGTATGAATTGGAGAGGATGTGGTTGGCTCGTCAGTTTGAGTCATCGCATTACCATGGGATGGAGACAATAGAACCAGAATATGGGCTTCCGAAGACCTGAAGTTCTGTACACCCGATTTGGGTAAGAGAGCTTATCACCCAATCTCGATACCACAACAAGTAAAAGGCCCTCGCGATCAGCTACCACGTATTTATATGTAATCTACTGCTTTATAACACTTCTGCCCCAACTCCAATACAGTCCAAGAGCAGTAGCTGTAGTCCAAGATGGTTGACATGGAGCCTGCAAGTGACCAACACAAGCGACAGAAGCTTGGTTTCGAGGAGTCAGTCACAAAGTGTATTGAAGCAACGTATGCTGATAAGATCGATCACAGCTACTCAGATTCGAAAGTCCTTTCCGACATTACGATCCGATACGGAGCTTTAGGAGAGCGTACCTTCGAAGCGCACAGAATAGTGCTTAGCGCGAAGTCATATTGGTTCAAAGCAGCCTTCACTGGACAATTTGCAGTAAGCTTATCTTCCGACGATAGAGATACATGCCCTTACTGACGCAAGAAGGAAAGTTCCGCCAGGGAGGTCACCCTGAAAGAAGACGATCCCGATGCTCTTCTCACTATACTCAACTTTGCATACGACCAAAAGATACCCCCTCCAGATGACTCGTCGTCTGGTACTCCTCTCAACATGCGTCATTGTTTGGACTTGTACCGTATGGGCGACAAGTACGACTATCCCCAATTCCGGGACCAGGCCGTCTCATTGTTCAAGTGTAGCATGAGTGGTTGGTCTATCAGACGCAGCGACCCGTTCCCCAGAAATGCCGTTGCACAAAAAGAGTTTTGTGGGTTCGTCAGAGACGTCTATGATGTTGCTGGTTCAGACCACCAACCTAGTCATTCACTGGTAGATGTTTCGCTAGGATTTGCAGACGGGCAGCGATCGACATGCATGGTCAACGGCATTGGTGACGAGCCATTGATAGCGTCGGCCTGTCGAGAAGTGGCAGAATTTGGACGCGACATCTTTCTCCATCCAATGGCAAAGACTGGACTCGTTCGTCAGGATGGCGGTATCGTGACTGAGGCTCTGTCTATCGTGACTAGGAGAGTGTGTCCAGATTGCGACGAGGTTGTGTCGATGGCCGACCTGGAGGAAGATGACTGGGAGGGCTACTGTCCTCGTTGTGGTGAGCACCAGCTAGACTGGCGGCCAGCAATGCTGTGCTACGAGGAAGAAAAATTCATTGAGGAAGGGACACAGAGCAAATGATGGTATTGTTACGTAGCTAGAGAGGTGGTAGCGCGGTCTTGCCTCGGCAGCGGAGATCTCCGGCACTACCGGTAGGCCAACGTGAGCTAGGTTTCAACTTTCCAATGTTCCCCCTCGAATTGCTCTCCATGAACTTGCGATTCCACCAGCCTGCCACTTTAACGACGTTACGACCCATTGACGACCATTTTGCATATCTCGCTCTCTTTTCTGTCTTTCTGAACTGTTAGAGATACTACTCGTGGCTCCTATCTAGCTCGGAACCGTCTGCGACCAGCCATACCTAGAACACACGCCTTCGCGCAATCAAGCCTCACCGCTCCAGACCTCAGCTAGCCGGCTCACTCAACTCATTCAACTTGTCATCGCACTCGCTCTTTACATCGAAACCACACACCCTCCTTATCCGTCCACCATGCCCGAAACAACCAAGGTCGTGCCCCTCACCTGCCACGGCCACTCGAGACCTGTGCCGCATATTCACTTCTCGTCCCTGGTAGACGAGGACCAATACTACATTATATCAGCATGCAAGGACAACAACCCCATGCTCCGCGACGGAGTGACGGGAGACTGGATCGGCACTTTCCTGGGCCACAAGGGCGCCGTTTGGCAAGCGAGACTCTCGTCGGATGCCTCATTGGCAGCTACGGCCTCTGCGGATTTCTCTGCGTAAGTGCGTCCAGTTACCGTGAGCAAGAGTCGTGCTAATGTTTCACAGCAAGGTCTGGGACACGCACACCGGTGAAGCCCTACATACTCTCTCGCACAACCACATCGTCCGCGCCGTCGCGTTTCCCAATCAGTCTCATCCGCAGATCCTCGCGACCGGAGGCATGGAGAAGAAGTTGCGCATATACGACCTTTCACGTAGCGACGCGACGAGCTTCGAGATTGGCGCAGGTGTTCACACCGGAACCATCAAGTCGATCGTGTGGACATCAGACCCGAATGTCATAATCACAGCCGCTGAAGATAAGAAGGTGCGGTGGTGGGACTTGCGCCAAGAGTCTACAATCGGCGAGCATGCCGTCGAAGGCACTGTTGGCTCTTGCGAGTTGGATAACACCTCCTCGGAGGGCATTTTGAGCGTAGCCGCTGGAAACAGCGCCTACTTCTTCAACAGCCAGTCGCCCGGATCGCTCATCAAGAGCATCAAGACACCATACGAGATTGCCAGTGTGGCTCTGCACAATGGGGAGCGGAAGTTTGTTACTGGTGGTAGCAACCAGAACGATACCTGGGTCAGGGTCTGGGACTTTGACGAGGAGAAGGAGCTTGAGACCAACAAGGGCCATCACGGACCTATCTGGTCGGCAAGCTTCTCGCCTGATGGAAAGCTCTACGCGACAGGCAGTGAGGATGGAACAGTCAAGCTCTGGAAGTTCACATCCGGACCGTACGGTCTGTGGAAATAGGATTTCGCATGACTGACGCTGCCTCTGGTCACAAGTATGGCCAGATGCAACATTCCAGTACCCCAACAATAGTAAATACGAGACAATTAGCATTTACCACTTTGGACACTTTGTACACTTTGTACAGACTGATGCAATCACGTTTTCTCAACGATGACATATTCGGAGCAGGTGAGCAGAAGCGTGGCGAGACCATATCGTAATCGCAGCACTGGAGTTGACATTACATTCGCGCACTATCTCAGGCTACTCCAACCAGGGTAACTGTACCCGCGGAATTATCCGATTCGACATGCCGAAGGATCGACAACACCAATGGCATGCAGCAACGCCAGCGACCTGCAGATGCCACGGCCGGCCTAGGTAGCGATATGCAATGCTCAACACAACGATAAGACCGCCCTTGGCAAGATAGCCGATAACTACGTCCACGGCCGTTGCCAAGGGTGGGAGGCCTCTGGTACAAATTAAGTACAGATATCATACCTCCGCTGTCTGCATCGCATTTCGAAACATTGCTGCCGCCTGTGAGAAGTTGTTGCCAGGGTCTTCGGTTATCTCGTCTCTACCCCTCCTTAGTCAATAGTTGGATCCGGAATTGAAGCACCAACATCCTTTTCAAGAACAACTGCGCAGAGTCAAAATGGGAGAGAAAGAGGAAATCTCGCCAGCGCGAGAGGCTAGCATCGATGAGGGGCAACTCGCTGCTGAGAAGCAGATGCGCGATATCGGTGCAGATCTGTATCTCGAAGTCCAGCAGTACTCAAGAGAAGAGCTGGAAGCAGAGCGCAAGGTTGTCTTAAGAAAGATTGACTGGGTCATCATGCCAATGGTACATTCTCTCCAACACATCTCACTAGACCACAAGATATCATAGCTAAAGAATCAAACCAGATCTGCATAACATACATGATCCAATTTCTCGACAAACTCTCTCTAAACTACGCAAACGCCTACACTCTAACCCCCGACCTCGGTCTCCAAGGCGACCGCTACGGCTGGGTCGCCGCCATCTTCAATTTCGGCTACCTCTTCTGGGCGCTACCCGCAAATTACCTCATCCAGCGTCTCCCCGTGTCGAAATACACCGGCCTAATGATCCTACTCTGGTCCATCCTGCTCTGCTGCCACGTTGCCGCGAAGAACTACTCCGGCATGCTAGCCCTCCGCTTCTTCCTCGGCATGTTCGAAGCCAGCATCAGCCCCGCCATCATGAACATAGTCAGTATGTTCTACCGCCGCGACGAACAACCAGTGCGCATGTGCGTCTTCCTTGCTTTCAACGGCATGGCGACTATGGTTGGTGCTCTCCTGGGCTACGGCCTCGGCCACGCGCATTCCGCCCATATCAAAACCTGGCAACTCATCTTCCTCGTCATCGGCCTGTTAAACTTCGTCTGGGCGTGGGTGTTCCTCTGGGTTATGCCTGATAGTCCCTCTACCGCCAAGTTCCTCACACACAAACAGCGGATCGTGGCGATTGATCGTATCGCGAGCAATATGATTGGTGTCAAGACGAAGCAGTTTCAGAAACATCAGGCGCTTGAGGCGGTTCTGGATTTCAAGGTGCTTTGTATTAGTCTGATTGGGCTTTGCTGTGGTGTTATCAACGGCGGTGTGTCGAACTTTTCGTCCAGTCTTATCCGTGGATTCGGGTTTAGCGGCATTTATGCGACGTTGCTGCAGCTTCCGACTGGTGCTATTGAGTTTGTTGTTGTGCCGCTCTGTGGACTTGCAGCGGGCTACTTCAGGGATACGCGTTGTCTCATTCTTGCTGTGGTTTGTTTACCACCGCTGGCTGGGCTATTGGGAATCCGACTTACGCCGCTATCAGAACGTTGGAGTCTTGTTGGGTGCACTTGGCTGCAGTACATTATCGGCGCTCCGGTCATCTTGTCTTGGAATCTGCTCACCACGAATATCGCGGGTCACACGAAGCGTAGTACCGCGAACGGGATGTGGTTCGTCTTCTACGCGGCGGGCAATATCGCAGGAGCGAACATCTTCTTCGCAAGGGAGGCGCCGAGGTACTTCTCAGCGTTGACGGGGCTCATCGTTTGTTACTGCGCAATGGTGGTGATCGGGGGTGTGCTGGCTGTGTGGATGGGATGGGAGAATAAGAGGCGGGATAGGAAGTATGGTCAGGGCGAAGATGATCAGGCCATTCGGGACGGGTTTAGCGACTTGACGGACAAGCAAGCAAAGCATTTTAGGTATGCGCTGTAGAGATATCAATCGTGCTACGGACGCTTTCTCACGAAAAGATCCTCATCCTCTCCAGAACTCCCGCAATCTTATCCCCTGTCATATCTTCCATATTCATATTACCTGGCAAATATCCCACGCCTTCACATCCACCTTCACCATCAAATTCCACACCGAGTATCCCCTTTGCTACCCACTGTGCAGTCTTAGCATGCAGACTCGGTTCCACCGATGCGTCCTTTCCCTTTCCCCCATACACCTGACTCCTTCCATTAGCAAGTGCCTGGTACACTATCAACTGGTCCCGCAGATACTCGTCTACACAGCCGCCATGTTCGATCTCCGCCAGTAAATCGTCAGAGACCTTTTTCACAATGGTAGGGATGATTTTCTCGAGCTTTCCAGCCCGAACCCCACGATCATATAGCCAGTCCCGACCAAGCTTCATGCCGGTAGACGTGGTAGCCACTAGGAGGAGGTAGTAACGTTTGTCGTGGTGTGAATCTTCAAAGGTAGTCTCAACCCTATCATCGTGGTCGCCCGCATAGCGGAAAAAACGAGATTGGCGTCTCTCAAACATAACATCGAGTTCTTCGCGAAAATGCCGCTCAGTATCCTTGGGTGCAATGATGGTTGCTTTTACACTAACAACATCTCCCCTGTCGAGCAGCTGGAACGCTGGTAGTCTCTCTCTCATAGACAAGATTGTGTATGTGACGCTGCCAACAGCAGCGCTTCCCTGCGACCAGCCCCGCGAATGAATCTGAATGTCGATGTGTGGTATGCCGATAAGCTTTAGCATGGGCACGAGGACCTGAATGACATAATCGATGGATGGAGAGTTGGAGACATTGGTGCCTCCATCGATACGTACACGTATCGGCGTTTCAACTCCAGAGAAGATAATGTACGGTAGTATGGCTTGTAGCACCAAGCTGACACTTCCGGGGGTGCTCTGTTTGATCCGCACTTCGCGAACACTCAGCACGCCGTTGCACTGTTCGACGAACTTGGATGGGATGAAGGTGATTTCCTTGCTCTTGAGTTCGGCACCGCTGATGGTCGCGTCGCTTGCCTGGCCTAGCCACTGCACACAGGTCAAATGCTGGGCTTTGAGTCCTCCGCCGCCAGACCGCTTGCCTCGGATCTTGGTGATGTGGATTGGCTTTTTGGTGAGACTGGCGAGGCTAAGGGCTACCCGCAGGAGTTGGCCTCCACCTTCGAGAGTCGTGCCGTCTAGGTGGATTGGTGTCGGGGCTTGAAGTGTGGACGCCATGGTTACGGACAATGCTGATGAACGACTACACAGCTTACTGATAAGTTATGTGCAGAACATACTCCGAGATGCATCGCTGTTGGGGCTGAGACATGTATTGATGCCTGGTGTATGAGTGAAGATGACTCAGGCGGTCGCACTTTCCACTCACGCTGCGAATGAGCCTTAAGGCCACCCAGATGTAGCAGGTGTCTGTTGAGTCATATGCGCGCCTTCTTCATTTGAGAGATCGAACTTCCTTTGTGGAAACCTCATCGATTTGGCGTGGGGGTGGACAAGGAGACGACCTAGAGCGCGCAAAACTGCAGTATTCCGCGACTATGACGTCGTGCAGTGACATACATCCAGACAATAGATACACATGCAAACACCGGGTACTAGAACGCGATCGTTGCAAAGCCCTTGAAGGCGAGAGTGAAGTTGGTGGTGCCTTGCTTCAGGGACTCTCGGAGATCGAGCCGCGGCACGCAAGCGATCGACGCGGCGGTCCTGTCGTCATCAGCGAGGCGCCGAACTTTTGATTGACATCTCCGAAGTCGTCCACTCCCACGTCCGCACGTCCATCGCCATGTCGAATGCCTCAATAACGTCTCAATTCGATCTGTACGTCCGGTAGCCGCCTCGTCTACCCCTCGCAGCCATGCGCGCCCCGCTGGCTTTCTCCGCAAAGGCCTGGCACGGCCCAGGCAACGGAGCCCTGTTTTCAAATATACAGTCGCGCATCTCGACGACAGCACCCGCCATTTCGAGATCCTTCGCTACGACGCCGATACCGAAAGCCTCAATACCCAAGGCGTCACCGAACAGCTGCGCGCCATCCCTCTTCGCCCCGTCATCAATCCTCCGATCCGCAGTCGCGGGCACCACACGTCACAATGGCTTACAAAGCCCGGCTCGTATGTTCACTACATCGCGACTGCTAGCGGAAGCTTCAAGCAATGCCAAGCCTGCGAGGCAGCGTGTATCATACCGAGAGGAAATCAAACAAAAGGGCATCGTGGACCTGGAAGAACACGATGGTGAGCCGGAGAGCGAGGAACAAGGCTTTGCGAAGTCTGAAAAGGCGGCGCAAGCAAAACAGGTCAATCTGAGCGCCAAACTCAGCAAAGACGGTTCTGGCTCCAGTGGTGCACCAGGTGGCATGAAGGAGATTTGGAGACTGATCAAAATTGCCCGACCTGAACTGGGCGTACTCTCCTGGGCCTTCCTGTTCTTACTTCTTGGTTCTGGCATTTCTCTCTCGGTACCCTTCTCGATTGGCAAGATCTTGGACGCCGCTACCTCGACTGAAAACACCAATGGTCTACTCTTTGGTGTATCTCCATCTATCTTCTACTTCGGACTGGCAGGTGTCTTGACGACCGGCGCTGCGTTCAACTTTGGACGTATCATTATCCTACGCATCGTTGGAGAACGCATCGTCGCACGTCTTCGATCCCAGCTCTACCGCAAGACCTTCGTCCAAAATGCCGAATTCTTCGACGCCAACAGGGTTGGAGATCTCATCTCCCGTCTCGGTTCGGATACCATCATTGTTGGAAAGAGCATCACGCAAAACTTGTCCGACGGTCTACGTGCGCTCGTTAGCGGTGCAGCTGGTTTCGCCATGATGGGTTTCGTCAGTCTGAAGCTTACCGGTATCCTCGCCTTGATCGCTCCGCCTGTCGCTCTCGTCGCCTTCTTCTCCGGTCGGTCGCTGCGAAACCTCAGTCGTAAAATTCAGAAGAACTTGGGAACGTTGACCAAGATCGCCGAAGAGCGGTTAGGGAACGTCAGAACAAGTCAAGCCTTCGCTGGAGAGGTTCAAGAAGCATCACGATACAACCGGCAGATCAAGAGGATATTCGCGCTGGGAAAGAAAGAAGCCGTGGTTGCCGCGAGCTTTTACGGAAGTACTGGACTAATGGGCAACCTGACCATCATCTCTATCTTGTATGTCGGTAGTACCATGGTCAAGAACGGAGTCATCTCCATCGGTGAACTCTCCTCATTCTTGATGTACACCGTCTATGCTGGTTCTAGCATGGTTGGTCTTTCCGGCTTCTACGGCGAGATGATGAAGGGCGTTGGAGCTGCCAGTCGTCTCTTTGAACTCCAGGATCGCAACCCAACAATATCGCCTACCAAGGGTTTGCCAGTCAAATCGGCGCGCGGACCCATCGAATTCAAGAACGTCAACTTCAGCTACCCAACCAGACCTGCGGTAACCATCTTCAAGGACCTCAGCTTCAGGATCGAGCAGGGCACCAATGTAGCTATCGTGGCACCCAGTGGAGCTGGAAAGTCTACAGTTGCCAGTCTTCTTCTGCGTTTCTACGTCCCGAACTCTGGAACTGTCACAATCGACGGCCGAGACATCACCACCCTGAACGCGAAGCAGTTGAGGAGGAAGATCGGTTACGTCGGCCAAGAGCCCGTACTCTTCTCTGGCACAATCGCAGAGAACATCGCATATGGCGTACCCAACGCTACACGCGCTGAGATCGTGGCTGCTGCACGCAAGGCCAACTGCCAGTTCATTAGCGATTTCGTGCGTACAACCCTTATGATATGAGAGCTCCGCTAACAAGTACAGCCTGATGGCCTTGAAACACATGCCGGCGCCAGAGGTACTCAACTCTCTGGCGGCCAGAAGCAACGTATTGCTATTGCACGAGCACTCATAAAGAAGCCCGACATCCTTATCCTCGACGAAGCCACGAGTGCTCTGGACGCCGAGTCTGAAACTCTGGTGAACCAAGCGCTTAACAAGCTTCTCCAAGAAAACAACACAACTATTAGCATCGCCCATCGTCTATCAACGATCAAACGGTCCGACCGTATCATCTGCATCGACTCTGAAGGTAGGGTAGCCGAGGAAGGCACCTATGAACAGCTCAGCTCGAACCCAGAGGGCGCATTCAACAAGCTTATGGAATGGCAGATGAGCGGCGGTGATGTGCCTGCTAAGGACGTCAAGGCCCCAAAGCCTACGGAAGAAGAGGAAATTGAGCGAGAGCTTGATGAGGAGAAGGAAGAAGCTGCTGGCCGCAACCGCGTCTAGTGAAGCTGTAACTTTATTTGTATCACATTCAATGGCAGTCGTGGCGATTTTGCGCGACTCTCCTGCTTCTTCATGGAAGCAACGGTGGGCAAGTCCGCCGCCACCAACAATGAACCCCCACACAGCACCAGGGTTGCTGCACGTTTCGGCTCAGACACGCATTTCAAAAGCAAGATGCGCTCCGCAGGGAGACCAAAGAGTGGTCGCCCTCTTGCCTGACGCTATTTGAGTGGTACTATTTGATCAAACATGAGAACTTCTACAATCAAGTTCCCATATTGCCACTAGCCTTGGACATAGTATCACGTTCTGACTGCCCAAGCATGTGAGGCTTGCAGCTATAATCAAACAATCATTCTCCTCTCAATATCACTCCATACTCTGCAAGACATGTCGGGGCGCTCCGCTAGCTCCTTTAGCACCCTGATCGCATCTTGCATGGCAATGTCATCGCATAATCAGGTACGACACCACTCATAGCACGCACCACAACCTGATATATGAGAGGCTACCAATCAAGGCTCAATTGAACACACTAGCGTACCGAACGAGGCAATGTGCCCGTACATCGTGAGGTAACGCCATGGTGACGTCATGCATACCACGCAGTCTAGACCCTCCACACCTAACGCGCGCTGACGCGATGTATACCGTGATGTCAAACAACGTGCCATATAATCCCCATCTCACTCCACATCAATCCCATCTATACCAACCAATTCCTCCCTAATGCTCAACACCACATCCCGTCTCCTACGCCTCTCCACATCCACACTCACAAAGCGCATCCCAACAACACCCATTATCAAATCCTTCAGCACAACCACCCCCCGCCTCTACGCTGCCAAAATGGACGCCTTCAAGAAAGTCGGAAACCGCGAGAACGCGCCCCCAAAACACGAAATGGTGCACTTCCCCGGCCTGATGAGTGAAAAGCGCAGTTTCGGCGACTTCCGCACCGTCCTGCACACAGGCCTCTACTCCCAAATCGTCGCTATGGAAGTCCCCGTCAACGGCGAGATCGGGGATGAAGTACATACTGTAGACCAGATCCTGCTCTTTACATCAGGAAAGGGGCTTGCGACGGTGAATGGCAAGGATCAGGAGGTCAAGGCGGGCGATGTTGTTGTTGTACCGGCTGGCACGCAGCATCAGTTTGTTACCAAGGGGGATCAGCCGCTAGAGTTGATTACAGTATATGCGCCTGCTGAGCATCTGCCGAGTAGTGTGCATAAGACGAAGGAGGAGGGGGATAAGGCCGAGGAGGACGAGATTGATGAGGCGCCTGAGTGGGCGTTGAAGCCCAAGGCGGAGAATGAGAAGAATGGGTTGGTTAAGGAGAGTGGGAAGTACTAGATGGGGTGTTTAGCAGACTCGAAAATTATGAGTAATGCATAGTTCTATTGGTATGCTCCGACTAGGTCGCGACAATGCATGTTCGGATTGGTCGCTGACTGTATTCGTCAAGGTCGTGCTACAAACTTCCTCATATTAGTTCACAGTCGTCTTATGTGAATGTCTCACTATCGTAGTTTTGACACTCATCTGAGGTACAATGATCGCTCTACGCAGCGTTTCAATCTGTTCGTCTAGGCCATGCTGTCCGAGCGTATACTTCGGCTCGTGACCTAGAGGTTCACGTAGTGTTTCGTCTCCACACGATGATGCGGGCCGAACATTATACCTTTGAGACAGCAGCCTTAAGAAACAACTTGGACAATATAGCAGTTCTCTTGAAGCTCGGAGCGGTCTTCACACGAATGATTCTGCTTTTTCGTATGAGCAAATGTCTTTGCTTATTTGTTGATGGTGAGCTGAAAATCGAGGCGCTGTGTCAAGGCGAATTTTTTCTGTATTCTTTGTGTAAGACGGCCTGACATGACATCGCCAGTCGTCTTCACCTACATCTATGGCGATTTGCATTTTAAAGGAAATCCAACAAGGGCGGTGACGGATACAAAAGAGTGACTGTCCCGAACGCGAGAGAAGATACAAAGCCGTTCCAGGCCACATAGTAAAGATGACTAGGAAAAGCTACGCGATCCTGTCCGCGCACCCGTTGCTTACCCAAAATTCCGGCCTCTCTAACCACTGCGACCGGCGTCGGGGACCTTCTGCCGAAAGATACTGCCTCTGGCGGAAGTTACCCTGGAGAGAACCGCGGCGACGATCTGGACCTCGTGATCTGTCCCAAACGTCTTTGTCATATTCCACGGCTTCTTGTCCTTGAGATCGCTCATTTTCTCTCCAAGCTTCACAGCCGAACGCTGAGTGTTGTCTCCCAGTAGAGTTCCCCAGAATCTACCTGTTTGCGGGATACGGACCCTGTCGCCTTCGATCTCAGATTCAGGCTTGAAGTTGAAGAGCAGCCATGGCGCGCCGGGCTTTCCGTTCGGCTCGATAGCCACGACGAGGACGAAACCGGAATCGCTCCAGGGCATCTGTGCAGGTTTGCGGGTCAGTTTGTCGTAGGTATTTCTCGAAGAGTCGGAGAGGGTATCAACCCTGCCCAGCTGCATGAACGTGAAACCTGTATCATCGTTGCCAGTGGATGAATTGCTGGAGGCGGATTCGTCTGACTCGGCATTCTTGCGCCGGTTGCCACTCTGAGCGTTTGCCTTGGTCAGGTTGATACCGAGTATAGATCCAGGTAGGATCTCGCGCGAATCCATCTCGTCAATGTCGTGATCTTCGGGGACTATCTGTAAGACATCTGTGCTCAGACAGTAGTGATACTTGCGATGCATTCCCAGACCGATGTATGAGCGTAGGTCGGTACTCAACATGTCACAAAGAGTCGTGCGGGAGTCCTCGGAAAGAAAGTCGGTATTTTCAATGGTCTTGATGAGGTCGGCAGCGCTTGCAGGTTCGGGGAGTTGTCAAATGAGCTTGCACCGCTGTTGGCTCCATACCCGATATTTCTCTAGACTCGCAGGGTCAGGGAGTAGCTGGCGCATGAGATCCTGGCAATCGTCCTCGACATTTGGATTGTTCGTACGGAAAGAGCCGTCGTCGTTGCGGTAGCCGTTCGTCGAATGGGCTATCAGCTCTGCTGAAATCCTCTCGCAGTCGGCGTCAGTGAGATTTGCCATGGTTAGATAGCTCTCGGGAGTGAAGTTGCGAGTTGAGAAAGGTAGTCCAGGGTTTTCGCGGATGCGACTTGGGTATGCTTATTCTGCCAGTTGTTCGCTTAAATACTCGCTATGACGAGTGCTTCTAATGTTGTTAGTCTCTGGCAAACGCTTGGTAGCTATCTAGGTAGACACAATCACCGAACGAGTGGGTGTGAGTCAACACACAAACTACTTAACCCAATCGTTTGGTAGCTAAACGCAATCAGCACACGCATAGCGCAAGCAGCAATCCCCGACCACGGTCGCTGCAGGGCCACAATCAGTTGTTACGGAATGCTCATTCCACCCGAGGTTCGCTGTGCGACGGAATGTTGTTCTTTTTGAGTTGTGTTCAACGCTGAAATGAACCCTGGAAGAATTTGCCGAGCCTTGGATTGTTTTCTTTACAGCGTAAGAAATGCCAAGTACCTACAGCTATGTACGTCAGTAAGATTGAGGGTCCTCGTTTTTTATTCGTACGATCAAGATTAGGACTCGTATCATTGTGTCTTTTATACAGTTCACTTTGCACTCGGACTGAAGTAAGTATTTAACGAAGCATATCGCATGGCCAGCTAACCTTTCTGCATATTCCTAATTAGACCTTGGAAATTCGGAAATTCGGAAAGTGGGGGAGAAGTTCGGACACGCTGCTGGACACGCAGCGCGATTGTTAGTTTTATCCATTGGTATCGAAGAGACATATGCTGCCTAGTGTGAATCGATTATGAACTCGCCGTGATATTCCATGGTAACTTTACTGTTCGGGCGGTGTATGGGTTTTCGTCATAATGCAGCTGGGTTAGTCAGGTATTACTACAAGCGGTAAGCAGGATTCTCAGTGATCTCACAAACCTCCACATTAGAGTGACGAATGGAACAGTGCCCTAATTCAGGCTCGTGGCAGTTGCTTCACAGATCTGCAATTGGGACTCGAGGCGTGTGGGGCCGCTAAGAGAGCGTTTTCAACGTTCTTCCACCATAGCGGAACACGGTAGTGACGCGGGCCCTGTGCGCGTTCGCGGTGGTGGGTGGTTGCATGTCAGCCTTGCCGTGGCGTAGTATGACATGTTTAAAAGCATTCTAAGTTAGAATACGGGTGTAAGTATCAGGCATACCCTGGCATTGGGCCAACTCAAGTCATGGTGCGGTAAGTTTTCGTGTGGCGTTGCAACGACGTAATAGCGCTGCAATACCCCGATCGCGATATTCTCGCAAAGATGCTGGACGCACTCATGATGAGGGGAAACATGGCAGGACTAGTGTCTTTAGAGAGGAGCAACGGCCGGAGTCACGATAGGTAGCTCGCGGGGTCGGGCTCTGAGCCGAAGTTTGGTTATCAGATGCGATAACCGCCGAGAGACCGAGGACCGGGCGGCGTGACAATGGCACGTTACAGGATTTGCGCGACTATGTGCCGAGAAGGTCTGCGCTTCAGTTCATAGTAGTTGCGGTGAAGGCTGGTGGTGTAATATAACGCGATGGGTGAGCACCGTGATCAAGAGATCGGGCTGATGCTGTGGGTGCAGCCAAGATGGTCGTAAGATGGTTTGATTAAGGTCTTTGTCGGATAAAGTAGGACAAGACAGGCGGGAATACGAGCGGTTTCGGCGTTGGGGCGCTGGTAAGCGTCATTCGGCAGAAGTGGGCGTTCGGGATGCTCATCTCAGCCTTGGAGGCGTCGTTGATCGGCAGTAGGAAAAGCGTCCGGGCGCGGCCTCTGTCGAACATTTGTCCATCACCACCAGGCCTCACCTCATGCTCACACCCTCTGCCACGGCTAGAATCCGCCCAAGACGAATCTATTCACAGTCACTGTCCATTGTGTCACCGATATCGGGAGTTAGCAAGCAGCTGCCACTCGGCCGTGTTCGTTTGCCAGCCAGTCGAGGTGAGTGATGCCACGATCTGATAAGAAATTCGGTTGCATCAAAGCATCAGATAACCACCACGACCCCCCACATGCTCTGCTGTCGCACATCTCCGTCGTCCGCGGCCACGAGCAAATGCGCCATGCATACTTGCACCGCGCCTTGCTGTTGCATTGCATTCTCCATGGCCATACCAAGTCAGCTCTTGCTAACCATGGTTCGCGCTAGCAGTCCCCTTTGTCGCGTCCCCGGCAGCACGCCCATCGCTCCTTCACCTCACTCCACGCAGGCACATGGCAACCTCGACAGCGACCATGCCCAGCCCCATACCTACCACGGCGACTTCACACCCTGACGACCCAATTCCCGCTGAGCCAAAGGATATCCCACAGCTCTCACTCCGGCCCTCGCCGGCACAGCAGTCGCAGCCCGAGCAGACGTCGCCCAAATCTTCGGGCGAATCCACACTATGGACCACCAGTAGCGATGAGTCCGAGGCGCCCATGACGCCAATGACGGAGCCCGATCAGGGCGTTGAGGAAGTAGTCGATAAACTACAGGAACTGCCTACCTCGGCTGTCAATTTCTCTGGCCAGACGCGTCCTCGCCGGGCATCTACCACGCTCATTTCAGACAACCCGAACGACATCAGACGGATACTGGGCGAGGGTGAGACGGCCACCAAGCTCATCAGCCAGTGTTGCGGTGGAGGATGCTGTCTGCTCAAGACACTGGCCCCAGACGCATCGTCGCCCAACTTCATACCCGTCGTCGTCCCCGACAACCATGCCTTCCGGAGCCTCAACCTTCAACTGGGTCCGCTCGCCCTCGATAGCGAGCTCACCGACACGATTCCACTCCCTCCTGCCAACATGTCCTTTGATCCCCTGCCATCCAAGGACACCAAGTACGTCTCGCAGGTGCACAAGACACCACCCAAGTACGTTCAGCCACACCCGCCCTACGAAGTCTACTCGGCACCGCTCTACCACGCACGCGAGTTGACCAAGCCGGGCGCTGAGAAGAGAACCATCCACTTCGATATCGACGTTACCGACTACCCCGACGAGGGAGGCGTCGACTTCAAGGTTGGTGGTGCCGTCGGCATCTGCCCCCCCAACTCGCAGGAAATGGTTGATGAGCTATTCGATCTCCTCTGCATCCCCAAATTTGTCCGCGACAAGCCTGTCACACTCAAGACCCAGACCGGCAGATGGCCGACCATCTGGGGTGAAGACCAAGCACGCGAGCTTGTCACAACGAGACGCGAACTGCTGACCTGGTGTGCCGACATCCAGTCGCACCCGCCCACCAAGAACCTCCTTCGCGTGCTCGCCGAGTATGCCGAAGCCCCCAACGAGAAGAAGATCCTGACGTACCTTTGCTCTGCTCAAGGACAAGCAGCCTTCTGCGACCTCCGTACCACTTCTCACTTTACAGTCTCACAGATGCTCAGCGCATTTCCTTCGTCGAAGCCGCCGCTACCGCACCTCCTCTCCGTCCTCACTCAGCTAATGCCTCGATTCTACTCCCTCTCGAACGACCCCCACATCTCGTCGGCGCGCCCCGGCCTACCCGGTACTCGTCGCCTCATCGAGATGGCCGTCACAATTCACGAGACACCCGATTGGCATGCTGAGGGTGCTACACGTACAGGTGTAGGCAGTGGCTTCATGGAGCGCATGGCACACGCCTTCATCACAGCCGAGAATGAAGGTGTCGATCCCCGCAGCATCCTCGATCTGCGCATTCCCATGTTCCGCGGACTCATGGCCAATCCGCTGTCAAAGCAATTTGGTGGTGAAGGTCCCATGGTGCTGATCGGAGCGGGAGTCGGTATGGCTCCATTCCGTGGTTTCATCTTGAATCGATTGAAGAATGCCAATTGCGCCAACAAGATCTGGCTCATCCAGGGTGTCCGAGACTCTATGCTCGATGAGCTCTACTCGGGTGAACTAGGCGACCATGAACGCGAAATCAAAAAGGTCGTCCAGAGTCGGAAGGTCAAGGTGGGAGGCTCCAACGAGGTCAAATACGTCCAAGACGAGGTGCGAGTACAGGCTGATATCGTCTGGTTCGTTATCAATGCTCTCGACGGACGTATCTTTGTCTGTGGCTCTAGTAAGGGCATGGGCGAAGGTGTCGAAGAGTCTCTAATTGATGTTGCGATGCAAAAGGGCCGCCTGAGCGAAGCGCAAGCGAAGGAGTTCTGGGCCCGAAAGAAGGAGGACGGACAATACATTGCCGTAAGTACACTTTCCAATCATGCCTACCTTACACATGCTAACGAGTAAGCAGGAAACATGGTGAACATGCCCTCTCTGAACACCTGTACATACAGTTACGGCTTCCGTTTCACAACCGCGTCTCTATCCTTATCGCTACCATATTGCCACGGCGTTCGAACAAAAGGAGTCCTTTATAAATCATATAGGCAGAACAAACATTGGTACGCACTTTCAGTCGAAGTTGGCTGTTCATGGCTTCTTCGTTTTCTGGGTTGGGATATTCATCATTACATTAGAAGGACATGCGCGCAAGAGCATGGCGTTTGTCAAAGGTCGGAAACAGGCAATTTGTTTGCGTTATTACTATTGTCAAGTCTAGATCATCATATCACATGTCGTTGATAGTAGGAAGTGAACGTAATGAAAGATGTTATTACAAGTTGTGGTATCCTGTGTCGAAAGCTTGGTGCTTCAGTGAAAGCTAATATACTCCCAGTGCATTTGATAGCATTTCTAGGGGTAGCTACAATATATAGTGCATCATATGAAAGAATTCTTTGAGGTAGAAGTATACAATACTTTGGGAACCATCTATTTGTCAGATTTTAATAGGACGTATACTACACGAGTCTTGGCCACACCCGGAAGCATACGTCTTCACGAACGTTAATTGTTCCACAAACTATTCTTTGCCACAGACTTGAGGAGTTTATAGAACCTGTTCACAATGCAATAGCCTGTGTTGCTCATCACAAGTTGATCGTAAACCTTGGTTTCAATGTGTCTCAACCGTGGTTCTCAACGTTCACCGCTCTACAGCGTTGTAGCACTTTTGTACAAACGGCCCTGATCACTGATATCGTAGCGGGAGATACAACATCATTCCTCTGTTCGTCCACCCTCCATAAGGACTAGAAATATTTGACTGACACGCCTTCTCATTCATCATACCGTTCAAGCATGGCAAGCTCAAATTCGATCCATGCAGCCACTCTGCTGTATAGCCAATTTCATAGAATCCCAGACGAAGTCCTTCTCCAGATTCTGCACTATCTCCCAAAAAGCGTCAAGCACCCCAAGCCGCAAGCCGACGTATTGAATGCGCTCTCGACATGCAAGCACCTAGCACCACTTGCCCGAGAGGTTCTCTTCTGCGCACCAATACTATACTCAAGTAAGGCCGACCACTTCCTCGCTTCACTCTTCCAGTACCCAGACCTGCGATCCAAGATCCGAAGCCTCACCATCGAAACGAAAATCCGCGGGATGTGCATAGGACCGAATCCAAGTCCAGCAATCAGCCCCGAGCTACTAACAAAAGCCATCAGCCACATCAGCACATTAGACATCTACCAACACACAAAGCAGCAATTCACCGAATCGCTCCATGCCGGTAACGAATTCGACGGGCCTAGCACCCTCTTGAGTCTCGTCACGACCATGCTACCGAACCTGCAAGAACTGTATCTCGGTGGCTCGATACTCTACAACTTCCCTTTCCTCCAAGCCCTGTTTACCTCCAATAGCAGCCTCTTTCCAGCTCACAACCCCGATCTAAGCCCCCTCCTTTCTCTTTTCAGCCACAAGCTTACTGTCCTCGAATTGCCCAACGACTTCCGCATCGCGCCTTCCAGCCAGTCAGATTATCGAGGCTCTGTGCACGGTATTCCTAGATATTTTCCGGAGTTGCGCACGCTTATGTTGCCGAGTGACAATGTCGTACGTGCATACTACAAAGAAGTCGTGCCGTCCAAACTCGAACGGCTGGTTTTGACCAACTGTGCCGGTAGGGAGGCGGAAACGTGGGTTGGAGAGGTGTGGTCAAGGCGAAGAAAACGCTCTTTCCTAGTTTCGCAAGTGTAAGTTTGTATCACAGTTACCGTGGAAGTGCGGCTAGATTGAAGTTTCGGGAGTGTATGAAGAAGATGGGTATAGTGTGTAAGTATTCCTCTCGATCAAGATTTCGTATGGACGTTTGCTAACTTACCTTGTAGTCTATCAGTATACTCCAGACTATAGTCTTTGGAATACCGATGGGTCCTTCCACCCGTGGCTTTATGACGGTATTGAGCTTGATCTTTCGGAGGCAGCCATGCATGAGAAGGGGCGTAGGTTGGATAAGGCTAAGAGTGATGAGAGGAAGAAGAGAGAGGCTAGGAAAATTGCATGGGGTCGAGTTGCAGGCGTGCAGAACCAGACAAAATTGTAGGGAGGAAATGCGCTTGCATTTTGTTTTTCGTATCAGAACCTTGGATGAACTCATCCGTAAGACCAACGCATCGTCAATGCAATGTTTCGTTAGTACACCCGCTACAAGCAGACTTTCCCAATCCTATCCAACACCCGGCCAACCTATGCATAGTCAGTTTCCACATCGTTGTATCGAATCTCTCAACTCTGAACTTACTCCAAACTGTCGGCCCATCATTGACCTTTGCAACATTAACCCGATCCCCCACCCTCCACACCTCCTCTCTCCCTTTCCCCCAAAACCCATATCGCCCAAACACCGGACTCCACTTTGCCCCTACATCAATCCTGCGATCCTTTTGCAACCGCTTCAGCACCTCTCCACTCGGCCCTTCCCCCGGTTTCCCCGTCTTGTAGTCAATGTTGATGCTCTTGCACCTCACACAGTTATGCGGAAGAAGAATCTCCGTCCCGCCCTTCACACTAACCTTGCCCCAGTAATCTTCTTCGTACGGTTCATACGCGCCCTCAACCACGATGTTAGGACGGAATTTCTCGATGTCCATGACCATCCCCTCTGGCAACCGGGACGAAACATCATCGAGACTTGTCTGCGAGCAAAACAAATACGGAGCGCAGTCCGCGAAAGTGATTTTCCAGGTCTCGTCTGATGAGGGCTTGTGCAAACCCATTGCTTTCTCGACGTACGAAGTAGTAAACGGGACGTATTTCGATAGGAAGCGGGTAAGTGGCGAGGGTTCTGCGGGTTGCATGTCTTGGAATTGAACGGTGCGTCGGTTGGAGCCCAGGTATACGAAGATGACTGGGTAGCCGAAACAGGAGGTGAACCAGTCGTTGTACTTTTGAGGCATTAGGAAGGCGGAGGTGGGGCTGGAGTGCATGTCGATGTTGATGGGGGATAGCTTTTCTATGTCGGGTTCTAAGGGGATTTGGATTGATGTTGCTTTTGATGAGTCGCCGTAGGCGATGTATTTGACCGTGATGGTGTCGTTGGACAGTTCTTGGAGGAATTGTGTCATCTCGGGGTATTTGGCTACCGCCATGTTTTTGTAGCCGTCTTCGGTTTTCTGTAGGAGCATGAAGGAGCCTGAGTGGTATTAACATTGTTTCAGTGTAGAAAAGATGTGGGAGGCGTACGGTCGTGCTTGAAACCATGAGCAGTGGCAACGGCTTCGGTGACCTTTACGGCCCGTAGCGACTTGATGGGGTAGATATATATCTAGCAGTGCTTTCATCAGCAAGCGTTCTCTCATCTCAGAACCATTCATCCTACCGCAGAGATCTTCATAGCCGTCAATCGCTGCATCAACGGGCTGAGAAGGTTGAGAAGTTGATACATGCCGAATGGCACGACGCAAAGTGCCGTGACGATCCATATCGGCGACACCTTCTCCATGTTGAACTTGTACTCTTCCTCCATGCTGGAAGGGCAATCCGAAAATCTTGGGAGATGGAAGCGACGGTAGTCTTGGAAGGTGGTGTGTTTGCGGCTGGAGATGTGCTGGCCCACGTGTACGCCTTACCAAGGCGCCAAGACATGTCAAACCTACTTAAGTAACCTCGGCCATCGGGCATCATTGATCCTTCACTAACAGGCAGTGGTTCTAGTGTCATGCGACAGTCGTAAAAAGCTGTACTGGGAGATATATGTTAAAAGGTCGAGGCTAAGATGGACCTCGATACCTAGATGTTCATAATCTGAAGCAAAAACGGCCTTACCCTGTCGGCTACACAGAAGACGCTCTTGGGTAGCTCAAATAAGCTTATTTGATCTTGATTCATCTAGTCTCAGTCCTATGATTCAGGCCCTCATACTCTCTTTCCGAACACTCGGAATCGCTTCACACCTCCATCGGGAATAATCACCAACTTCGCATGCGTGTAGCCCCTGCCAGCCACCTCCTTAAGCTCAGCCTTATACTCATGCTCCTTATCCGGGCCCGTCTTCTGCGGCTCCAGAACCTCAACCCACTCCTTATCGTCATGAGCAGGATCCTTCTCAAAGCTTCCAGCAAAGACCTGCACCTTTTGCGGGAAGTTACCCCTAAAGTGCGCGGTATCAACAACAACGTGATCGATTTCGCCCTTTGCGCCTAGTCTGACAATCGTCCAGTCGACATGTTCGCCACGCGTGCGCTTCGTCTCCCATCCATCGCCCATGTCTTTTCCGCGACCGGGGAGGAGGAGGTTGTCTTTGGTGCCGAAATGTTGGTCTGAGCACGATGTTGCGACGCCTCCCATGACTGTTGCCGAGAGCTCGAAGATGGCATCCGCGGATTGGGGGAACACTGGCACGGCAACACCGTAGAGGCGGAAGCGTGCAATGCCACCATCGGGGTACATGAGAAGCCGGACATGGGTGTACGCCTTTTCCGTAATGTTTACTAGCTTCCATCCGTGCCGTTGGCTGGGTCCGCACTCTTGCTTTGACAGAATTGTCTCCCAACCTTGGTAGCTTGGCTTCTTCACCTCCTCTTCCTCCTTCTCATCTGTGATAAAAGCACCCTCGACAGCAATCTCCGGTGCATGGTTTCCATTGAAATGTGCCGTGTCAATCTCTACACCTGCTACCTTTCCACTCGCGGTACCAAGTCTCAGCACCACCCAATCGGCAGGTTCGGTGTTGTGACGTCGGGTTTCCCAACCGTCATACCAAGCTCCCGTGTGTACAAAGACACCGGGTTTGCGGACTGGTGGAGTCGGCGTTATGAGATTCTCCGCTGCAGCGAAGAATTCATCACTGAAGGACAAGATTTTGGAACCAAGAGGTGCAGATATGAGATCTGAATGCTTGTTAGGTCTTCCTTGAGAATGGCAAGGATGATTGGCTTCTCACCAGTGTACTGGGACTTGAAAGTAGTGTCAATCTCATCAATTGGTATCGATTGCGCAGTGTTTGTAGCTACGCTTTTGACATCTTCTGGTGATATGGTGCGAATCTCCATCGTGACAGTATAACATGCAAGACGGATAAGAAATAAATGCAGTACACTGGAGAGAGGAAAGTAGAAAGTTTGTTTTGGGATTTGGCTGAGTACCAAGAAGTTATGGCGGGGTGGTGGAGTAGTGGGGTAGCCAGACCCTGCGTGCCAACAACAGCTGCTGTTATCGGAATCCGCCGATGCCTCCGCCGACTCGATGGATATTGACGGGCCGATCACGGAGTGATACCGATAACTAGATAGCTACCTTACATAAGACTCTAATTATCGACAGTAATGCCATGTATTGCTTGAAAAGTGTTTGACTCCTCTCGCTGCGAGATGGGCCGATGCTGCAGTAAACGCGCTCTTTGCCCGGCGGGCCGCACGATAGGGAAAATTTTATGTGTCCGAAATTGACGCGAAAGATTGAAGTAATGGTAAACAGATCTATGCATACCCTGATACTATGGTAATATCCAACACGTGCGCTGTTACACCATTCGATCTCCCCAAAGGAATCAGCATCGGTCCTGCGGTCGCAGCCGAAACAATGTGTCTGCATTCTCAGACCCAGTCTGCGTGCTGTAGGTAACCGATAGTGTTCCCATTTGGCCCGTTTGCTGGACCAGGTGCCACTGATCTTTTCAAGTCGTGTGTGGCAACGTGACAAAGGACGCGATGTTCAACAACAACGAGATCCTAGAGAGCGAAACTTGAAGGAATCCAGTCTTCGTCTCAGCCAAGCAGTGTGGAAGTGACTATCGAGGTCTCAATTAGCAGGGTTCGCAACACTGCCGATCTTCATCTTCACCCATAGCTCGGATCATTCCACTGCGTCTCTGAATAGTAGGAGCTCCCGTTCTTGTTGTTGCCCCCATTCAAGTCCAACTTGGCCATGAATTCGGGGGGTACGGTGGGAATGTATTTCCGCTCTCGTTCCTTGTTGACACCTCCAAATCCGGCACCGTAGGTGATGAGCATGTCCGTTGACGTTGGAAGCGAAAATGGCAGCATGTATGACGGGTCTAAGAGAAGCTCGTCCGGTGGCTCGTCCTTCTCGTCTTCTTCAGACATACGCGAAGGCGCAGGCGATGGTTCGACAGGTTTATCTGAAGTAGGCCTGACTGGGGTGGTTGGTACGGATTCCGATGCTGGCGGCGGATTGGGCGACCTTGTGCGTGCGGCTTTACGATCAGCGGCAGCTTTTTGTAAATGTACGATGTATTTCGACGCGCTTTTCGGGAGACCCTTCTCGCCCACTTCAGGCCGGTAATATTTCGCGGTGTGTAGTAGCTGTTGAGGCGACAGACGTGTTAGCTGTTGCAAAGTACCCACGAGCGACTCCAAATCTTCTCCAAGTGAAGAGAAGCACTGGAGCCATTGCAGAAGTTGAACTAGAGGCTCGAGATGCCGTTTAGCAGCGTCCGCGGTGTTCTCACCGGTAGAAGTCATGGAGCCGTTCTCGTAATGTTCGGGTTGCCTGTTGTTGGAACGAGCCCAGTCTTCGAGCGTCGAGACGTTCATACGTATTTGCATAGCTTTTGTTCGTGCAAGATACTTCCGGTTTGACATTATGCGGTTGAAGACTTCGGCGGAAAGCCAGTAAATCAGCTGCGATAGCACCTGTGCAGCTATGACGGAGTGCACATCGTACAAATCGAGGACGAACAGGGTTGATGATAGGAGAGAAGTGATGTTTCGTGGTGACGGCTGTGCTCTGCGCTTTGGGGACGGTGGCCGGAAGCGTTTCTCGAGGGGTTCTAACGGTTTCGCTTTGGGTTTAGACCGAAATATTTTCCATTCGTGTTGGAACTGTACGTCTTCAAAACCAGGCATGGGCTCATGGTCGAGCATTGCTTGGTCCAGGTTTTTGTCCATCCTGCGCTCAGCGTCACGGATAATCAAGATGAAAATCTCATTGATAAGTTCCGCCATCTGCAGTTGAAACTCAGTAGTCGCACTCGTGAGTCCGCCGTCTTTCTTGAGGTAATGCAAAAGCAGTGTCGCATTGGACATCCAGAAGGCCAGCACAGTCATATCCCATTGGTGCTTTTCTACAACGTCGTTTATCTTG